TGTGTGGGTATCACTAAAATCACCCCCTTGCCCTCTGCTTGTCCCCCAATCTGTGTGCAGATCCCAGAGGTAGAGCTGCCATACAGGCCCCTTGTCCCTGAAGTCACCACACCAGAGCCGGGCATCTACCATGGGATCTGTGAGTACCGCCTCCCGGGGCAGTGTCGGGGGGAGGAGGACCTTCAGAGCCTGGGGCCTGGGGTAGGGGCAGTCATGGCCACATGGGACAGGGTTTTCTGGGACAGACAGGCAGGTCGTACCTTGCACAGAGACACCAGCCTGAAACTGAAGTCAGGACTGAAACCAGCCTGCACTGGGCTCGCTGGCCCTGGCAGGACTGCATCCTTGCAGAGGAGAGGCATTCCTGGCAGTGTGCGCTCCCAGAGGGGCACTTCTGCGTTTCCTGTGCAGACGTCTTACATGTTAGCTGCAGCCCTGACCCGGGAGGCTGCAGTTGGAGCCCAGAAGTTATAGAACAAGAAGATACAAGAGCCAGAAAAGACCCGGGCCCCTGCCCATCCAGGGCTCCGAGTTGTCCCTTCAAACTAGACCCCAGAGCAGATGCTTGAGCAGATCATCCTCCCTGCTCCAGGTGGGGTGGGGCAGCAGGAGCCCCAGCCCAGGTGCCAGGTCTTCCAAAAAGTCAGAAATCTGGATGTAGATGTGAAATCTCCACGTTTGTAGATGTGGGTGACCAGTCCTACTGTATTTTAAAAGCCCACATGAGCCAAACAACACATGTCTTGGGCCAGCCGGGCCAGTTGGTGGCCTCTGAGCAGATCCCATCTGGGTTTCACCATGTGTGTTCTTCTCACTCCTCTCCGCCTGGGCCCTTCTGGCGGGTCCTCTCTTGCTCCGTGCACATCCTGCCAGCACCTCTGCCTGCATCCTGGGGGATCCTCAGGCCCGGGGTCACTCGTGCTGACTGTGATCTCTCTCTCCTGTTCCCTGTTAACAAGGCCCTGCGGGCTTGCTCGCTGCAGCCTCTCCTCCTGCTCTCCCTTGCCCTCTGTGCCCATCATCCACCTCTAGTCAGCTTCTGAAAAGAAGAGATGCTCCGTGCCTGCCGTTGTCGTGCCCCCTCCCCTGCCATCACCTCCAGAGCGAAGCCAGAACATGTCTGAGTTTAGCCTCCTCCTTGCTACGCTTCTTCCCGCCAGCATCTCCTGAGCCACCCTCTAGGCTCCTGTGCCCGCCCTCTCCATCCCTGCCTGATGAAAGGATGTCAGCTGTCACCAATTGGGTTCCCAAGAAGCAGACTCTGAGTTCGAAACTCCTGGGGTGTGCTCTGGTGGGGAAGGCGGGCAGGAAGCAGGACTGGGCAGGGGGGACGTTGGGCCCCGGTGCTGTCCCATCAAAGCCTCTGCCAGTTCCACAGGCAGAGTTGTGGAGTTGTCCCATGTTGAGTAGGGGCACTGGGCCTTTACCACCTGTATTATAACACGTCACTGGGCATGGGCTAGGGAGGGGCAGAGCTAAGGACGGTCACAAGTAGGGGGGCTCAGCTGTGAGCTGTCAGCCACCAGCAATCCCGGCCCCTCGGGGATGCATCCTTCAGCCCTGGCAGTGGGAGGTGGGATCTGGGCAGGGCCCCACAGCATCCTCCACTCCCCCTTCTTAAGGCCTTGCAGTCACCCCATTCCATCCCAGGAAGTTTTCCCAGTCATACCCAGTAAGAATTCAGCCTTCGTTCCCTCCCTCCCTCAGCAGGACAGTTACCTCTTAGAAAAGAGGAAGAAGTCTTACTTTAAATCCTCACAGCCACTTACATTCCAGAACTCTCTTTCAATTACTTTCAGATAACAGAGTAATTTAAAAACCAACTTAATGGAGGCAAGAGCCTGGCTTGAGGATTGGTTTCGCCCCTGATTCAGGCATGGTACTGGGGCTTCCCTTGCCTGATCTCGTGGAGTACTCACAGCTCTGTTCTCCCCATTTTCCAGATTAGATTAGGAAACTGAGGCCCCGAGAGATTGAGTAAGCCACCCAAGGTCACACAGCTAGTACAAGGCCAAGAACAAAACCAAGCGTGTCTAAATTCAAAGTCTGGGTCCTCACCACTCAACACCCTCCCAGAGAGGCTGCTTCACCTCAGAGGTCTCTGTGAGGAGTCTGCACCGCCCCACCTCAGAGCTGTGAGGTCCTGAAAGACAGCAATCATTTCTTGTTTAGTCTGACCTCCCCTAGGTTGGTCAGGATTCTTGTGTGCGTGTATGTGTGCGTGTGCGTGTGCGTGTGTGTGTGTCTGTGTGTGTGTGCGTGTGAACAATGGAAACTGAATTCAATCTGTTAAGCAAAAAAGGAATTTCTTAGCTTCTGCCACTAAAAAGGTCAGGGGTTGCTAATTACCCATGTTATTGGATCCAGGTTCACAAACGACATCACCAGGCTTTTGTGTCTCCCTCCATCTCCCTGCCCTGTTTCTCCCTCTCTTGTCCATCTCCCATTCACACTTTGTCCACATGGGAGCTTCTGGAAGCTCTGCCCAGCAATCCCAGGCAAAAGAACTTCCATTTGCCAATAATTTCAACCATCATCCCAGAATTAAGTCTCCTCACCTGGCTTGGGTCACGTGCCCTTCCTTAACTGATCACTGGGGCTCACCATGGCAGGGAGGCATGCGTGATGGAAAACACGGATTGGCCTGGCCTAGGTCAGAGGCCCATCTTTGAAGCCAAGGATGAGGCGTCAGCCCCCGAAACTCCAGAGAAGGTCAGCATGCCATAATCGGAAGGAAGGAAGGAAGGGAGGAAGGAAGGAAGGAAGGAAGGAAGGAAGGTAGGAAGGCTGGCTGGCCAGCCAGAAGCAGCCACTGTCCCCTCCATCAGGTGATTTCCCCAAAGATGCTGTCTGTAAATATCTTCCCCCTTGAACCAGCTTTTGACCTTTCTCAGAAATGTGATTTCAATGCCTTTGGGAGTTTTGCCCTGGAGTAGAGCTTGCAGACCTTTTCGCTGCCAGGAAAGTGTAATTTCTCTGCTTCTCTGCTCAGCAGGAAAGCACAGGAATCTTCTAACCGAGGACCCTCTGCCCATTTTCAGGCCCATGATTTCTGAATCTCTCTTCTCTGAACCTTTGGCTTTTTCCTCACTGGATCCCAAATCCTAAACCTGCTTTCCCAGCCTGTATCCACAGAGAGAGCTTTGATAAAATGACCCAGGTGGGGGTGGTGCATTGGGGTTGGTAAATCCGGCCAATCCTATTAATGTTTTGAAAGGGGATCTATGACTTGCTAATTTGCAGATGACACTAATTTTGGAAGTTTTGCAAATATCAGCAGTGATGAATAGGAAGGGAGCTGAGAGAGTTGAAACATGGGAGAGAAATAACAAAATTAATTTCCATTTATATAAATACTAATTGATACACCAGAGGAAAATGAATATGGAACATGGATATTAGCTGGAAAAGGAGAGCAGTCGC